AAGTTACAAGCAGAAAAAGTTTAATTTGAGTGAGAGTATTTCGCTAGCCGTTGCGAAGGATTAAATCGCATGAAAATATAAGTACTTTACTCCCTTCTAAAGGGACGGAGCTCGAGTACAGAACTCATGTTATGCACATGCATATGAATGACATTGTTAGCAAAATAAATAAATTGAATGAATGAATATAGAAAATCTTTACAAAAATTCAATTTTATTAGGCTTTTAGATAACACAAATTTATTTGCTGACATGACTCTTTGCATGTCCCTAGTGGAGTCATCAAACTACCATAACATCCAGATCTATGGACCTATTGCTAGACATTAACTTGAGGAGTCGCCACCAATCTTTTTTATTTATGTGTGATTGACCACCTAACTGAATTTGTCCATCTTAAAGAAAAATCTTAAGTTTGACTTAAGTATCCTTAAAAGGTAGATTCAATGTTTATGAAACCAAAACTAGGTCCAGGAGTAAAATTATGTGGGAGGAAGGTTATAGCACCCTTACAACGCCCATCGAAAAATGGTATCAACTTGATTTCATGCTATCCATTAAGCCTTAAAAATCTTACTAAATAATTATTTATTGAAAATTATTCTTAATTGACTCCAATACTTTTGACAAAAAATTAAAAAAATTTTTCACCTCAAGAGTATAAAGAAAACTATTGTTTCTCTTACAGAGGTTCCATCGTTAGATTATTTAACATTAAAAAACTTCTAAGAAAGGAAAAGAAAAAAAATAATGCTTTAACCTTTGATAGGGATCTCTTTCATTATTTTGTTTTATTAGAAAAAAACTCATGCTTTTATACAAGAAAAATTAATACTTTCAACTTTTCTTAAAGCATTTTATTTTTAAGGAAAATTGATACTTTCAACTTTTCCTTAAAAATGCTTTTTTGAAAATTTTATTTTCAAGAAAAATAAATACTTTCAATTTTTTCTTAAAAATCCCTTTTTTGAAATCTTTATTTTTAAGGAAAATTGATACATTCAACTTTTCTTTAAAAATGTTTTTTGAAAATTTTATTTTTAAGAAAAATTGATACTTTTAACTTTTTCTCAAAAATACTTTTTTTTGGAATTTTTACTTTTAAGAAAATCATTGAAAAATTAAAGAATACTTACTTAAATAAATAATTTCAATTTAATCAATAAATAAATAAGCAATAATAATAATAATAAAATAAATAAATAAACCTTGACGCAGCTCGGCTCAGCTGGAATGGGTGCAGCTCCAAAAACAGGAACGGCTAAAGTGGCTTAGTTTGTGGCTTGGCTCAACGACTCAATAGGGGCTAAGTGATACGGGTAAACGGGTCGAGACACTGTGGGTCGGGTCAGACCGAAAGAAAGCACGTGGATCATGTTGGGTTCTTAGCTCAAAACGAAGTCGTTTTAGGGCGATACAAAAGGCAAAGAATTCTTTTGTCCTTATATGTTCCTTCCCATTTCTCTTTCTTCTCTTTAGTTTTCTTTGCGTCTCCTTCTAGACGCGAAAAATGCCAGTGAAATTCTCTTTGGTTTTTGGGTTTTATTGTCAAAAAACTTGAATTTTCACCGAAAAATTCAACGAATTCTAGAATTTCCAAAAAATTTATAGAAAAATACAGAAAAATTCCCAAAAAAAAACTAATCCTTCAATCATCGAAAAAATCCCATAAACTTCTACTGCAAATAATTACCTCTTCAAATTTTTTTATTCTAATTGCCTCTTCTTTTCCTCCCTTCTCCATGATTGCTAAAGGGTAAATATAGGGCTAGGTACTAGGTTGAACGAGGGTTTTGAAAATCAAAATCCTTATCTTCCAATATGTTTATCCCTGTTCAAAAAAAACCAATCCTTTTTTGATCCTGTTTTCAAAATTTAAACTTTTAATCCTAGAGTTTTACCATGACTAAAATTTCACTTTTATTTATTTATTTTTAAATTATATTAACCTTATTTAAAACCTATCGGAAAACAAATCCAAAAAATGGGTGTCTACAATCATGTTATATATATTGTATATTTTAGCTTCTTTTCATAAGTACCTCCCAAATCAACATACTTTAATCACCTTGCTGATTTTTGAAGAGAACAAGTCCTGAAGTACCTATTACAATGCCTAAAATAAATTATTTACAGAAGGATGGAGTGAATTCATCACTGATAATCATTTGAAAGTTGGTGTTTACTGCCTCTTTGGTATGATCAGAACCAATACTTTTGAAGCCATCATCTATCCTAATTATGAATAATCTTTTTTATTATTATACTGTATGTGAATAATCTTTTTCATTACTATGTTATAGATTATATGCTTTAATTTAGCTTCTATCTTATGTTTAGAACTTAAATAATATTTTTTTATAATTAAACTATAAATTATATTATTAGCAGTTTGTTAATTTTAATCAAGCGACATAGCACGAGCATCCAATCTAGTAACCTCCCAGATCAACATACTTTAATCACCTTGCTGATTTTTGAAGAGAACAAGTCTTGAAGTACCCATTACAATGCCTAAAATAAATTATTTACAGAAGGATGGAGTAAATTCATCACTGATAATCATTTGAAAGTTGGTGTTTACTGCCTCTTTGGTATGATCAAAACCAATACTTTTGAAGCCATCTTTTATCATGATTATGAATAATCTTTTTTATTATTATACTATATGTGAACAATCTTTTTTGTTACTATACTGTATGTGAACAATCTTTTTCATTACTATGTTATAGATTATATGCTTTAATTTAGCTTCTATCTTATGTTTAGAACTTAAATAATATCTTTTTTATAATTAAACTATAAATTATATTATTAGTAGTTTGTTAATTTTAATCAAGCGACATAGCACGGGCATCCAATCTAGTATAATAATATCAGAGTTGCAATTTGGATGGTTACTGATTATTAGCTGGCCTTTCTATTGATGATAACGAACCTTTTTTAGTTGCATTAATTTGGGAGAGTTTATTTGGAGAAAGGAGATTCCTAATTGGTTCTTTAAGTATTTATGCACGCCGGAAAGCCTCTGTGGTGTGGTGTCCAAAAATTATATTACACTTTTTCCGTCTTTTTGTCTTTTTTTTTTTTGTTTCTCTTTGTTTTAGTCTTTTAAATTTATATATTCTTTTCATTGTTCACATTTTTTTTTTTTTTTAACTTTTTCAATCACTGAATACTTCTTTTTTTTTCTATGTTTCCTATTAAAATTTCAAAATTATTTTTTACTTTTTATACAAAAAATCATAAAACATCAATTTTATAAAAAAATTAAAATTTTAATGTAATTAAAATTAACAAAAACCAAAGTTTTGTTTTTCTTATATTTGTAAAATTAAAAAACAAACATACAAAAAGAAATTAAAAAAGAATTGAACGAGTATTATTTTTGAAATACAGAAAGATGTGAACATATAATTTTTAAATAATAACAATGTCATTACAAAAAGTTAAGAGCAAATAACAAAAGGAAAAGAACAATTATCCTCCTATACTTAATGGTAAATTTTTTAAATTTTACAAGCATGTTATAGATAACAATCATGTAATGTCGCTTGTAAAATTTAAAGATTGATAAAGAATGGAAAAAACACAATTATCATGAAAAGTTTTTTTTTTTTTTCAAGGGATAACGATGATGACAAATTTTGAAAATTGATAGAAGTCCCTTTGGAGAAAATTGTTAACAATTATGATTACAAGGGAAGGTGGTCATCATCACTTTTTGGAATTCATTTAACTTTTATGAACTTCGGCTTTAAAAGTCCTAAGAATCTCCATACCCAACTGGTTGGCTGCTTTTCTGATTGTGATATGAGAAGTTGAAGCCAGCCTTTTTCAAAGTGGTGAAAGAGAATTTGAGCAAATATTTTATAATTTAATTAGGCTTTTGCTTCTTTTTTCACTATACAAGTTTTGCATTAGGACGTTGTTTTTTTTCTTTTTCCAGGGTCGGGATTTGTTTTTCTCTCTTTCTGGAAAATTTTTGAAATTTTCAGTTGTTATATGATTAATAGCAAAGAGTATATATGGCTTGATTATTGGATCGGGAGAAAAGACCTTCCAAGGACCACATGTGAGAAAAAAGGATAGTGTTTAAGTTTCAGTTACCTTCCTTCCATCCAGGCATCCAGGATCAGTTCTCCACAAATAGTCGCCCCACAATGTGTACATTCAACAGCTTGCGTGTGGGCGCAACATACTTTCTCGTTTACACAGATAAACCCAAAACACTTTTCCGACTGAGCAACATTCCACCATGAATCCTGATGGATGATTTGAGTTTCACATAATCAATTACTGTAACAATTTCTTTCCCGGAAAAGAAAAAGAATTCTGCCTGAAATGATAATAAAACCAATCCATTGTTAAACTGGTAGTCTTACATATATAGCATAAGAAACTAGGATTCCTATACTAAAAACCCGAAAAAGAATTCCTATACTTAAAACCTGAAAAAGAACACTGCCGAATGTTCTTGACAGAATTATCGGTAATGGAGGAAGCTCAAGTTAGTGGAAATTGACAACCAAAGGATTTTTGCACATTGGACATCTCCCCCCTAGAAGACTAACTGTTTCGGGCAATCCATAAAATCTCAAAGTCGGAGCTTCAATCACTCCGCAAACATGTGCTCATTGGTGCTAACCAATTGCTGCATGGACTGACAGCAAGAACTGCTTCTACTCATTAGAGGCACCCCATGTGCTCATTGGTGCTAACCAAAGTATCAAAACTCAACAGGCACAATATACTCCACAACATGTGCACTAATACATGCAATCGCAGTTATCTGGTTATGTGCATGAGAAATATGAAATCACATCGAAAACTATTAAACAGAAGTTATGTTAAAGCTATCAACACCATACATCGTAAAAACTAATCACAAACCAAACGAATTGGTCAAAAGGAGCAATTAAAGTGCCTACAGGGTGACCATATAAGAAAATTACAGGTTTCTTCCTGGTGGAAACATAAAAGATAAAATGTTTTTATTGGATATTTTCTACTCTGAAAACCTAGCCACTGACTACCACAGGACAAACTAATCTCTCCCTCAATTGGTTGTTGCACTCAGTTGTGCTAATCCATGGCCTTTCAAGTACCTGCAATGGAAGTGCAAAAATTAATCCGCGTAAGGTTCTCAATCACTTTGGATAAACTGTTAAAAACGGTTCACCTCAAGTTGTATCAAAATTATTTGTTATCTAATGAATTATTCAGCCAACAGATCATTATTCAAATTTATTTTTCCTACATGCAAAGCTTGCCAGTTAATGCCGGAATTCTTCACCAAGAAAGAGAAAGCATACATCTTAGAAACCCAAATGTGGGAAGAATGCAAGCAAAGTAACAAAATTATAAGAGTCCAGAAGCCTACATTGTAGAAAGGGCCAACAAAAATTCCCAATACTTACCACGAGTTAGCAAAATGATATGAGTGATCACAAATTATAAAAGCCAAAATGTGAGAAACACTTTATCTCCCTAACATGCCACTGTTCTAAGTTTTAACTAGAGAACAATTTAGTTTTGAGGCATAGTGTAATCAATGAGCGTAAGCATTCAATGCACTTCGATATCTAATATTAGTGGTTAACACCAAGTTGGTCATTCCAGTAAATACCAATGAAATTATGTAACACAAACATGACATTCAGTTGAGAAACCTTCCAACCCTTTCCAATAGGGTCCAAAGTCTTAAATCGCCAGCATTAATATTCTACAAAACACTAAGGGTCAAATATTTGAACAACTAAAGTTAAACAGGTAAAGACAGTTAGAAACACTTTAGGTAATGGCCTTTTATGCTGATTTAACAAGGAAATATTAGGTCTTTTGACCCAATTCTTTTGTCGAATTGCCAATGACAGTGGCAAAACTCAATGACCAAAAATATTAAAGAGTTAGATTAATGATATCATTTGTTTAGAACAAAAATAGAAAAAAAGGTTAAAACATGTTTAAGTGCAGACACAGCTAAATCCAATGCATCTTACTTTATAATTCAAGGTTTTAGTTTATCTATTTATTGTAAAAAAAGTGCTGATTAAGTACATTTGTTTATACTTTCATAATAAAAGGTAAAATAATAATAATAATAATAAAAAAAGAAACCTACAATGTGGTATCATTCTCTCTCCTTTAGCTGATTGAAAGTCCACGTGCATCACCCATCTTTTCCATTCCTCCCTATCAATCCCAATCCCAATTCCTTCTCATTAACCGAATTTAAAACTAATGATTGACCAAATTTATATCTTTAGGTAAATTTAGCACAAAATTATAAAGCAATTAAAGAAAACCAAATGTCTACTTTTCAAATTTGAAGTTATTCAAACCCAATAGATGTGAATAACAACAATTCAGAAAAACTCTGTTTTGATTTTCTTCCCATGTATCCTAGAAATAGTAAGACTCACAAAGAGGCTACTAGCGATCCTGACAAGTACGGCAGAAGGTACCATGAGAAAGCTCGCAACAAGCCCGCACATTAGCAGTCAGGTGTGAAGTGAGACGTGCCGTGGGAACCACGCTATGCAGAGGCAAGAATGACTGGAAACATCCCAATTCTCCCAAATTCCTGAAATAGCATAAGATAACCAAAATGTCTAGACATTCAAGCTCCGTTTTGCCACTTGAAAAATGTCAGCAAACTATAACTTTTCTTTTACATATAAAACGGTATCTTGTATGAGTCTCACTGAACCATATGATCTTAGAATCTAAGAACTCTTTTTAATCTTAGGAAATTTTCAGAACAGAAAACTATTACTTTCCCTTGTCTGAAAGATTAATCGAAAATAACAAGACTCAAAATCTACCTTTTCCAATTAATTAAAGAGATAATAAAAGAAAGTAAATAATTTCAAAACTACAACAGGGATTGGATCTCGATTGATTTTGCAGCCAATAAATTCATTTCTAAAACATTAAAACAATTCAATGCTGACTGAAAAAGTTACCAGTTTTCCGTTTCCTTTCTTCTGTTTTATCTAAAAAGGAGCCAAAAGAAGTGTTTAAAGAAAGAACCTGGAAGGAGCAAACGAGAGGCGGCGGGATTGGAGGCGAGGAGCAGAGGAAGTCGGGGGACGGAGGCGGGGCAGCGGCACAGGGGTACGGAGCGAAGGAGCTCTGGCGGCGGACATGACAGAGCGAGAGAAGGATCCTGCACTGCGCCAAGCCATTTTCCCAGAGAAGCGTTTTGCGTGAGATTGTGATCGTGGATGAGTGTGAGAGTGAAGCCGAACGAGTGATCGAGTAAAGGCTTTGGTTAGGGTTTAAGGGGGATGTGTTAGGGTTTTCCAGTTTTGGTAGTGGCGGGCTGATCAATTCCCAGTTTTAACGTTGGTCCTAACTTTCTTGGGCTTTGTTCTCTAAATATGGCCCAAAAAACGGCAGAAAAGACGTTTTCTTGTGTTTGAATCTTTGGGCTTTGTTCGTTATAAGTTCACTAAGAAACAGGTAAACTCCACCTATGGTCCCTAATCTTATATTCCTTTCCATTTAATCCTTAATTTTGAATTGTTCATTTGGATCTTTAATTGTGAAAACATTTATATTTTGACTCTTTTGTCAAATTGTTAAGGAATTCTCTTGATATTCCACGTTGACAAATTTTCTCAATTATTAACAAAATAATGAAACAAAAGAATCAAAATGAAATCAGTTTAAAATGTTAAGAGTTCAAATGAAATAATTCAGAGGTCAAGGACTAAAGTGATATTAGAATAAAAAGTTGGACCATGAATAGAATTTACCCGCTAAAAATCCTTAAAATACGATGCAAAGAAAGAACCAAAATCCACGTTGCCACTTTTTACCTCTACAAGTATTGTTTAGAAAGCAAAAGTAATTACTTCAGAATGTGAATCACCACAGACGAAATTGGAACCAAATAATTTGCAAGTTAGTTAATTTGCGACGTCAGCATTTTAACTACGTTATTAGTTTTAAGTATACAAAATATTTGACAAAAAAAAAAAAATTTTAAATATTTAATGATAAATTTTTTTATAAATATCAAATTGTTAAAATAGTACAGTTTTAAGTGTCAAATTACATATTAATCCAACTAAAATTTAGAATGGGAAGACAGTTGAAAACTAGCCTAGAATGTAAGATAAACAGTCAAAGAGACAGGACAACAAATGAAGCAGAAAGGAGGAATCAAAGTTCCTCAAATTTATTACACACCATTAGGATCCGCATTCGATGTTTTTGATTAAAGGAAGGAGTAAGCATTCACGCATTCTAACTGTCCATTGTATGTGTAAATTCTTTCACAGGATAGATATACAGGTACATTGTTTCTTTATAGGGTAATCTTTAAAGAATTCCGGTTTTTCAACCAATGACCGACTTCGCCTAGATTTCCTTCTTTCCAGCAAATGTTGACTGTCACTCCCCCGTGTGCCATCAATCCTGTCAGACATCCATTCTTCCATTGCGGAAGAGCAGGGAGCAAGTGTAGGTCTTCCAAGGTATTTTGAACAAGCATTTCTGCGAATGCTGATGTAAAATTGACACCAAAATTTGCATATAACTAAAATTTCAACATAGATGTGTCTATGTATAACACAAATGACTGGCATATAACTAAAATTTCAACAATCCTATAGAAGAAGTGTATACATGTCTGAAAAGTTTACGACGAATAAATGTAGAAAGCAATGACAGAAAGAATGGAACAGGTTTCTCAAAGGAACCCAAGTTCATCTGCAAAATTTATTAGGAGAAACAAAATATATAAATGCTCTACATGGAGATAGAATTGTTCTCACTGTTCAAGAAAAAGCCACTTCCGACAAAGAGTATGTCTTCACACATTTTAGCTGTCTATTGAAGGTGTAAGCTTTTCCACTTGATAGCTTTACCGTCATTGTAGTTCCTCTATAATGTAATCTTTTGACAGAATTTTGTTCCTTTGACCAAAGCCCGACTTCCTCTAGGTCTCCTTCTTGCCAGCAAATGTTGACTGTCACCCCACCCCGTGCTTTCAATCCTTTCACACAACCATTTGGCCATTTATCCCGGGGAAGAGCAGGGAGTAAGTATAGATCCTTCATGGTGCTCTGAACGAGCATTTCAGCAACTGCTGCTGAAAAACTGACACAAAGCTGCAAATTAGATACTGGCCCTGTACTAAGCTTCTGTATTTCCATAACAGAGTTCAATAGCATTTTAATTTACTTTTTCAATGAATTTATAACTCAATTCGATTCTAACTTCTAAAATGTAAACCAAGTTAGTAATCAACTCTCAACAGCTTCAAATAGCCAAATATCAGGAGTCCTAAAGGTGCATCTAGTCCTATTCACTTATTCCCTCCTTATGCCAGTTAATTCTACTTCAGCAACAACTTGCCAAAAGGCCACAGGACATTCCGTTGCAAATTTTCTGAGTTGGAAGTGGAATAAATTCTAGGCATGTTTAACTGACAATTGCCAAAAAATCTCAGAAATATATCAAAGAATGCTGCTTACCCAAAATTGGCATCAATTTGAAAAGGAGGATGTGCAGTGAACAAGTTGCTGTAGAGTCCTCCTTCAAAGTCACTTTCATGAGTCGGATCCACCAAATCAATTAAATGCTTGACCATATCATAAGCATGCTCACTGTTGTGAAGACGTGCCCACAAAGCAATTTTCCATGTAGTTGACCATCCTGGACCATCCTCCCCTATTTCATATTATGAAAAATGTAAGCATACTGCTTAAGAAATATCATAATAATAAGAAGGTTGAAAACTATATAAATCTTCATTCAGCCACTGGCTCTACTTCTGCAACAGTCATCAGGGCTCTTATGTACCAATGCAACAGTTGCATAAACTAGTTGCTTAGAATCCATCAACCGTTATATAAGTTCTGACAACAACATGCTTTAGACCACAGTAACTTAGGACACTTCTGGCAACACAGATTTTTCTGTACACAACCTACCAATCTAAGTATTGCCTAAAATGTCTTTTCATTTCAAAATTTTAGTAAATTCTATAACCATACTGCTGAAACAACTGATTTATGTTACTTATTTTCTTTGTATGTAAAGATATGTATATTCACCTTGAAGTCATTGTAACACACATACCTCTTTTATAGAGGGTATAATCAGCAGCTTTACAGAGGTCTGGAGTCTTTTCAAGAGTAATTGCATGCCCAGGAAACAGGCCAAAAAGGTGTGATAGATGTCGGTGATGCACATCAGGGTCCTGAAAATCTTGCGCCTGCTCCAGACACGAGAATATTTTCATCTAACTTGTTGAACACAAATATAAATCCTTTTAACAAAGATTGGGATCCAGCTGTGCACATACCCATTCCATAATGGAACCATCTCTGGCAATTTTCATAGGTAATAACTTTGGCTGAGCTTCACGGACTTTTCCAATCAGAGCATCATTCTTTCTTCCCAAAGCCTGTCTTCAAGAAACAAATTAGTATATAAATATATGGAGAATATTACATAGAAAACTTGGCCTATTTCAGTTAGCATAAAATAAAACTTCACCTCAGCGGCAGAAACAATTTCAGAGAACACTTCTCTTATGATTGCAATGTCCATGGTTGATGAGTAGCTTACGCTAGCAGGCTTACCATCAGGAGCAACAAACATATGCTCAGGAGAAGTTGATGGGTTGGTTTCCAGATATCCTCCAGGGCCCTCAATCAACCAGTCCAACAGAAATGATGTACAGCCTTCTAATAAAGGATATGCCTTATTTTTTAGAAAATCCTAATTATGCAGAAAATATCAGAAATCCTTTTAACATACAAAAAAAAAAAATGAAGCCATTCAGCTAGCATTCCTATAAATTAACTTCATGAACTGTGGGTGTTAAAAACATAAACTCAGACCATAAAATCTTGAATCAAGCACCCTTTATATTATATAAAAATCATATAACATTTGACAAATGAAAAAGTAAAATTAGTCTCAAATATATAACTAAAAGGGGTAGCAACTCTTTTTATCTCATAATTCAAATATGAAATGAAAATTTCACTTCATCAACAATTCTGCTCTACTTCAACCCTTTCCTTAATTATGACATATATACAGACACTTCCTAGAGGAATGGCTGAAAGAATTTGCTTTGTAAGGTCAGGGATCTTTTGCATGAACAACAATTCAGATACAAAAGTACCACTTTTGGAAAACATTCACCAACATGGTACAAGAATTATTCATGCTGATGGGTGAGCCATTGTATGGTTTCATCTTTTCTTTTTTTTTTTCCTTTTAGTTAGATCATTCTGTGTTCTACAACAAAACAGTAAATTACAGTTAAGCATGCAAGAAAACCATCAATCTTACTGAAACAAAAAAAAAAAAAAGCAACAAAAACAACAATATTTTCTAGAGGAAGCCTTGTGCTTATTAGAAAACAGCCTTCCCCAGACCATTAGCGCAGCATAACATCTAAGATTTCCATCTGTTTATTATCAGCACTATTCCTATGAAACATTCTTGTATGACATCTTTAGAGAAGAGTCTGCAGTGAAGTTGATAAAAAATCTCACAAGAGTAAAAGAAACAATTAGATCCGAGTTGAGTAAAAACATAGGATCTTACTTTGTCCATTGTATAGGTGTAATGCTCCCACAGATGGGTGCAGAGCCATGCTCCCCCCATTGGCCATAAAGCCCATACAGCCTCACCTCGATCGGGTGATGTTTTTGCCCATATGTCAGACACTTGATGTGCAACCCAACCACTTGCTTCATAATTCACCTGCAACATTCAATGAATAAATAAGGAAGTTTAAAATTGGACAATGTAGAAAGACATCAGTGGTGAAAACAAAAAAAAAATCCTTCATGGATAACAAACAGATAACAGAGAGGCAAGGTTGATGGTCAATATGGTAGCTTTAGGGCATTTTTGAAGATGCCAAGATGAGCAGACAAGAGGTTATCACTTATCACCAACACAATTTAAAGAGAATCTCACATTTTAAAAAAATTCTGCAAAACTAAATTTTAGATCTACTCAGTAGATTTTTAGAAGGGAAAAATAACAAAAGTAACTTACTTTTGCGGTTTTATGCCCATTGATTGACAGACTGGAAATGTAATCAAACAAAGGTTCCTGGCACTCTTTAAGGTTGCAAGAAAGGGATGGCCAATAGTTCATTTGAAGATTAATATTGAGATGAGGAGCACCACTGAAGCATTAAACAGAAGAGGGAAGAAAATCATCAAACCTTGATATATGCATATCGCATTGAAAAATTAAATTTCATTAGTTGGTAATAACTTTTGCTGAGCTATTATGTTGGCAGAAGCAATAGCTGCATATTTGTTCCATTCACAT